CAGGGATGCCATCTCCAACCAACACAGCTGTGCTGGTACAAAATTGGAGAGTGTTAGTTAGCTGTGTTAGTTTGAAGTCAAAGTGGAAGGCAGAGTAGATTCGTATGTGTGCGCACGTGCAGGGTAGATGTGCACCTTATACCTACACACTAACCAAAGTGTGCGTGTGTAGGGTATGTGCACCTTATACACTAACCAAAGTGTGCATGTGCGCACGTGCAGGGTAGATTTGCACCTTATACTTATACACTAACCAAAGTGTGCGTGTGTAGGGTATGTGCACCTTATACACTAACCAAAGTGTGTGCGTAGGGTAGATGTGCACCTTATACACTAACCAAAGTGTGTGTGTGTAGGGTAAATTTGCACCTTATACAATAACCAAAACGTATGTGTGCGCACGTGCAGGGTAGATGTGCACCTTATACCTACACACTAACCAAAGTGTGCGTGTGTAGGGTAGATGTGCACCTTATACACTAACCAAAGTGTGTGTAGGTGTGCATGTGTGCGTGCGCGCATGTGCGTGCAGGGTAGATGTGCACCTTATACGCTAACCAAAGTGTGCGTGTGTCGGGTAGATGTGCACCTTATACACTAACCAAAGTGTGTGTAGGTGTGCATGTGTGCGTGCGCGCATGTGCGTGCAGGGTAGATGTGCACCTTATACGCTAACCAAAGTGTGCGTGTGTCGGGTAGATGTGCACCTTATACACTAACCAAAGTGTGCGTGTACGTGTGTATCTGTGCGTGTCTACGGACACAGGCGGGCCAGGGTCTCTGGGTCAATCCGGCGTCTTTCATGAGACCAGCGAAACCCTTGTCAAAGAAGTCTGCACGTTTCCAGGCACGGAGGCCCTTGCTCGGCCGGGGGAGTCTCTGACTGACGAAGGGTGCTTGTACCCAAAAGCTTGCAAACATCTTTCCCCCCAACTATTTCGTACAAGACACCGGACTGACGACGAGTCGCTGGCCTACCCGTGTATTACACTCCCCCCCCGCCACCCCAGCACCCTCCACCAGCATCTCGTGCCGGGTCCGCGTGCCGGGCCCACGAAGCTCGCGCTGTTTCTATCGGCTCTGCCAGTCCGCAGCCCCGCGCACTGGATCTGCCACACCCGACCCGACCCGACCCGCGCAGCTCCCCGCAGCCCCGCGCCGGGGGATCCCCTCGGGGCGCCCGGGGGGCAGAAGGCGAGTGAGGGCCGGGATGTCTCGAGGGATCATCGCGCCCTTCCCCCCCTCCAGCCTGGGCCGCGCCCGGCGCCTCCGGGGAGGCCGGAGCCCCCCACACGGAGCGGGGAAGGGAGGAGAAGGGGGGAACCGTTCCCCGCCGCACCTTGTCCAGCAGCCCGTTGCGGCCTCCCCTCGCCGCCATCTTGTCTCCTCCGCGCCCCCCCACCCCCGCGGTGGCCTCGTGGGTCGGGCCCCCCCCCCGGTGACATCATGCGGTATCCCCCTGTGCCACTGGCGTCATCATTTCATCATGCAATATCCCTCGGTGCCATTGACGTCATCATTTCGTCACGCAATGCCCCCATGCTGTGCCATTGGCATCATCATCCTGTCATGCAATATCCCCCCCATGCCGTTGGCGTCATCATTTCGTCATGCAGTGCCCCCCCCATGTGCCACTGACGTCATCACCCCCTCATGCAGTGCCCCCCCCTCCCGTGACATTGGTCCCTCGTGGCCATGGCTGGCGGCTCCGTCGTGCCTCGTTCTGTCCCCGCCTTCGCCCCGCGCTGCCTCGGTCACACAGTGTCCCCCTCCCCTGCTGACAAGGGCCCCCCCGAGTCCACCACTTGCGGTTTTGGGGATGGTTTTGTTCAATGTCTTCATCAGCGAGCTGGGAGATGGGATGCGGTGCGCCATCAGCACATTTGCAGGCAACTCCAGGCTGGGGGGAGTAGTGGAGACGCTGGAGGGCAGGGCTGGGATTCAGAGAGACCTGGACAAATCGGGGGATTGGGCCAAAAGGAGTCTCATGAGGTTCAACAAGGACACGTGCAAAGTCCTGCACTTCGGACGGAGCAATCCCCTGCACCGGTGCAGGCTGGGGTGATGGCCTGGGCAGCAGCTCGGCAGAAAAGGACCTGGGGGGACAGGGGACAAGAAGCTGAATAGGGGCCAGCAGTGTGTCCTTGTTGCCAAGAAGGCTAACGGCATCCTGGTCTGCAATGATAGGTGTGTTGCCAGCAGATGGAGGGAAGTGATTCTTCTGTTCAGCGCTGGGTAGGCCACATCTGGAGTCCTGTGTCCAGCTGTGGGCCCCCCACTACAGAAAGGATGTGGACACATTGGAGAGAGTCCAGTGGAGGTCAACAGAAATGGTTGAGGGGCTGGGGGACAGGACTGGTGAGGAGAGGCTGAGGGAACTGGGCTGATTGAGTCTGCAGAAGAGAAGACCGAGGGGGATTGCATAGCAGCCTTCAGCTCCCTGCAGGGGGTTGCAAAGAGGATGGAGCTGGACTGTTCCCAGTGGGGGCAGATGACAGGACAAGTAGCAATGGGCTCAAGCTGCAGCAAGGGAAGTTGAGGTTGGATATTAGGAAAAACTTTCTCGCTAGCATAGTAAAACACTGGAACAGGTTACCTAGAGAGGTGCTGGACTCTCCATCCTTGAAGGCTTTGAAGACCTGCCTCAACAAAGCCCTGGCTGGGATGATGTAGTTGGGGCTGGCCCTGATTTGAGCAGGGGTTGGAGTGGATGTGACGTCTTGTGGTCCCTTCCAACCCTCCTTTTCTGTGAGTCTATCTAAGGCCAGCAGCACCAGGGTCTGCCCTCACACATATCCTCTGGCATTGGTATTATGTATCCTTAGCATTATTGCACACTTATGACATGCCCAGTCCTTTGCATTGGTATCCTGCAGCAATGATGCACTGCTTCTTCACGCTGCTTCCCATCCGTCAGCATACGAGGGATGTCAGATTGCTCCAGACTCACCTCAGAGTCTCATGGCACTGCTCTGCCAAATGCAATATGCAACTCTCCTCGAGAGCCCCCAGCCCTCTAGGCAATGTCCTGTGTGGATGCTGTACCAGTTTCCATGGTCTCACATTACCTCCGTCAAGGTGTGACTGAGATGACATGGCTTCCCCCAGTATTGCAAGCTGCTGCTACAGCGAAGGCTGCTTCTCAACAGATGACCCATTCTGTGCTTCTTTTCACACCTTAGTATCAGCTGCACAGAGCATGTAGCTCTTCACTGACCTGCATTGGCATCGAGCTATCAGCGACAGTATGGCACATGTATCCCTCACAGGCATCCTGACCCTGTCGTTGCACCACCCTACTTCCCTGGTATATTTAGGAAGGCATTGTGCATTCTTCATTTTGTATAGCCCAGCCACCTCTGTCATCGCTCTTTAATTTCTTCAGCTATTGAGCTTTCTTTTGTAGGTCTTCTTCTGTATGGGATTCTCATCAGTCTCTGCAGTGACTTCTGAAGCATTTCAGAGCAACTGTTTTATGTCGTTGCTGAGCCACATCACTGACATCAGCGGGATCCTCCTCATAGATATACCTAAAAGCATTGTCACATCACGCCCTGATAATGTTATGTGAAATGGTGCTGGGCCACATCATGGGCTTGACACATGCCTCTGCTGTTGAATGGAGGCATTGTTAAGTAGCTCAGAGCAATGTCTGGCAGCTCCGGTCTTTTGCTGAATATCATTGAACAGCGGCAAAGCAGCTGCTTGCTGAGGCTGCACCAGCACAGAATTCAAAGTCCTTGTGCTGTGTGAAAACAGCTTCTTCATGCACTGTGGCAGACTTGCATGGAAATGTCGACCTGTTTCAAAGCACGTAGAAGTGACATGGAGACGACATTACACTGCATTGGAGAATTCAGGACGGAGTGGTTGTTGCAGTGACAAGCCACCCCAAGTACAGGTAGCCTACCTGATCCTTCCATTTAAACAGCATCATGTTGTGTCAAAGCACCAACATATTTTGATTTCATTGAAGGAGGCCAACTGCAGACTTCAAATCACACCCTGTCCTACACCACAGTCCCCTTGTTAAAGTATAGTGACCTGGAGTCATTTATGGGGAGAGGAATGAAAATGGCTTTGTTTTCGGAGCTTAGAATACATACAGCTTCTGTTCAGTCTATGAAGGTTTTGCACCTCGGCAAATGGAATCACTTATTCAGTGCCTTATTGTTGGTTTAAGAGGTCAGTTTGAAAATGGTGGTACTATGTGGCTTGATTAGGCCTCAGAGGAAGCGGGTAGGGAAAAAAAGGGACACGAATTAAAAGACAGGAACAATGTGAGTCATATTCTGCATTGAGTGAATCATGAACATTCTGTTATTTTGAAGGCAGATTTACTGTCTGAATCTTGGCACCCCCATTTGAACATGTTGGCCCCATTCTCTCTATCACAGTTTACACAGCATCATTCAACGTCTGTTCAGTGATCTGGTCCAGTAGTATTGGCTGCCAGGGAAAGTTTTAATTGTAGGTGTAACTTATTTGTACCCTGATCTTTTAGTAACTTTGCAGATGACTACAAGATGATGGCAACAGGACTGTGCAAATTGGACAATGGAAGCAGTTACGCAACCAACTGCTTCCCTGCCAGGAGCATCTTGCAGACAAAAAATGAAGGTAACATTGCTTTGACAGCAGCTAACTTGAAGCCACACAGCAGAAGGAAGGCCTGTCGGATTCCAGGCTTGTGATTGTTAAAAGCTTGGGGCTGGATCCTGAGCTTGTATAAATCAGCAGAGTACCATTATTTTCACTGAAGCCCTCTTGATTTACACTAGCAAAGGGTTTGATCCTTTAGCTTTTCCTTTTGGTGTCTTTTCATCACCCATTTGATTGATATATGCTTCAAGAGCTGAACAGCATTCAAGCTAGGAACTCCAGATGGCTGTTTCAGTTTGCATGCAAGAATTCTTGCTTTTGCATTCATTTAATATTGGAAAAGTCACTGACTCAAGTTCAGCCTTGGTTTAAGTTGTTGCAGTTCCCATTGACTTCTGTGGGAACTGTCTCTCTCTACTCGTAGGGCTGAATTTGATTCAGTGTGATAAAATCAAAACAAAGTAACAGAGGGTGACTCCAGTTTAAGTGTCAAGTGTAAAAGCATTATTTTTCACTGGCTTGTTTTATACAGGGCCACACAGTGCTGTAGAAGTAACATCTTTCAGTATTTGAACCCAGCTCTTGAGAATTGGTCTAGGATTGTGTGAACACAGCTAATTAAGACTGTGTCTAAACTAGAGAACTGAACTACCAGTAACTGAACAGATGGGAAGTACCTGCGGTGCACTGCGGCCACACTGATCACGCACTTCTCCTTTACGTTTTGGCTTGTATCTGCGTTTGTTCTAGAGTGCCATCTCAGCAGCATTTTCCTTTTCTTGGCTCTAATACGTTTCCCAGCACAGCTTCATGAAGTAGTGGCCCACCAATTTCAAAAGGCCTTTTAGCAACCCATAGGAAATCGAGGAAAAATCAGGTTATGTTCTGGTGAGATGCCTTAAGTTTCTGGAAAGTGGTGCTATTCCCAAGTCTTTTTCTCCAGCTGGAGGCCAGGAAGATCATGCAGCTTTTGTTTCCTGCTTAGCCAGAAGGGTTTCTGCTGCCTCTCTGGAAGAGTAGTTATGAGACAGCTATGTGGAAATAGTATGGATTTCTGGAAGCATGGTGGAGTTTCTCAGGAACCTATTTGACTGTTTTTTCTCCTCCCAAAAAGCCTTTTGAAATTTTCTGTGGGCTGTTGCTTCAGGAAACTGTGCCTATCATTGTCCGTTATCAAATGAGCAATTTGGCCACAATGATAATGCACAGTGCCAGTTTATACGCAGGGCAAAACTGCTGGAAGCAGGGCAGTTTGTTACCACATCGTACCACTGGTACTTACTTGAATGCTAGGTTGCATGTTCACTTGCTAATGGCTCAGTTCTGCGCATACATACAATCGCGGAGTCAAAATTCCTACTCAACCTGGATCTGTGCCTCTCATTGCAAGGCTGTATTTTAGGGGTACCTATTAGCTCATAGCTTGTAATTCTTTGGGGTTGGGACCTTGTCTTCATTTCTGTCTAGAAAGGGTGAATTTTGTTTTACAAACAGAACAGAAAACTGCATTGTTTTCACTATAGCTTAGGTCTGTGGCTTTCAACGATTTTAGACTCAAGGCATCCCTTGTTAGACTCGAAGCACACCTTGGAAAATGCCAGCTCTTATGTTTCTCTCGTTTTTTGACTGTAACAAAACAATACAATAGTTCTTCTATTGCAAAGAACTCATAAATTCCACAGCGAGTCAGAATGGTTTTGACAATGTGGATTCCTGTTTGAAATCTCTGGGTTTATTCTGTGAATCGTGTGAAGTGGTTTGTACACCTAACACTGCTAATTTTGAGTGGCACC